TAAACAAAATTTCTCTTCTGTCAAATGCAATGCAAGGAAGAAATATCGATATTATAAAGGCTGAAAAACTTGTCCTGAGATCAATTAAAGCATTTGAAATGCTTAGATAGGGAAAGGCGCCATACAAAAAAAAAGGTTGATGGATTAATTACTTCAGAAATCTTCAGAAAATATAAAATTTGTATAAAATCATCGATTTGTTGGACTTCTTTGGGAAAGACTTTTGGAAAGCATCATAACAAATTTGAAGAAAATTTGACTAGTTCATTCAGGTTCTAAATTTGTAGGTCTTGATGAATGGCTGCTTAGTTTCTGAGAAGCTGTTGTCCACATAGAAGCAGTGGTGCAATTTAACGGGTGTAACAACCAGTTTGGTGATCATGCACTTCGCACGCATGCGCACACTTTGTGCATGTGCACACCATTTTAAAAAGCCCATTTTCCAGCTATAACGCTTACCTTCTACTGCAGCCCCAGTGAGTAAAACAGCTAAGGCGCGACAAAACTGCCCTGCCGCACGAATCAGCTGTGCTCCGAAACAAGGAAATAAAACACAGGAAAGAGCAGGGGCAGGTGGGCAGGGCCAAATAATCACCGGAACTACCAGTTTGCCCGAACAGGTCCAAACCGGTAGAATCCCACCCCTGCATAGAATGCAAATGCAAGGCTAAAATGGTTTATTTGGTTCCTAGCGCTTCATTGGTAAATGATGGTAAATGAAGCCCTAGGTTTTGTGTGTGTGTGGGGGGGATATTATACACCACATATAGAGGAGGCTACCCCATTACCATGCATCATTAAGTAGAAGAAATGTTTTGTCCATATATATATATATATATATATTCTTAAGTTTTAGCGGGTATTTATATGTATGGTATTCAGCTTTGTTCGGGTATTTTCCCACATCATTATAGTTGTGCTTTTAAAGTTGTAGCAATGCTTCGGCAGAATCTCATCTGCCATCATCAGGCTTCTGTATTGTGTTCGTCTGTGAGTCAGACTTTCACAGCTGTTTCTGTTTTAAATTTGGTGCTAGCCCACTGCTGTGCTAGAATGGTTTTTTCTTCATCCTGATTGGTTGGGAGCCTTGGTCTGTGTTTATTGGTCTTGGAGTTTGCTGGGTTCTGTTTGATTGGTGTTTCTAACATCTTCTGTCTGTTTTGTAGCTTTTTTTTTGTTGTTGTCTTGATTGGCTGGCAACATTGTATTTCCTGTACTGGAGGCTTTTAGTGTGGCTTGGCTCCGAGTAAACAGACGGCTATCATTTATTATGAAGCTAGGTTTCATCTGGGTGCCTGGTTGGGGTGTGTTTGAGCTGGAGGTATCAGGGGGGATCTGTTTGTGCCCAGGTGTTTGCCTGGCTAGTGGTGTGGAGATTTTTTTGTTTGTGAGTGCAGGTTTCCAGATAATTGACAGTCTGGTGGAGTCATCTCTTCTATTCATGCTTTCAGGTCTTTTTTCAATCTCTATGGCTTCTCTGATAATTCTGTAGCTGGGGTTTTCTATAGTGGCTAGGGTTTTGGTGCCATTGAAGTCAATGCTATGACCTTCATGTGGCTTTCATGTGTTGGACTAGATAAAAACTAATACAAACTAATAGAAGGAAAAAAGAAATCAAAGAAAAAGCAACAAGTTCAAGAAAAGAAAAAAGCTGAAGAAAAATAGAAAAGCTATAAAGAAAGAGTTTCCAATATTCATCACAGCAGTAATACATTCAAATATATTTAACCTCTTTCTCTATAGTTACATCATATTACTGTTTTTTTCTATAATCTGTCCTGTGGAACCATCATAAACATAAATCACAAGTTTATTTTTCTGTATTTTTATGCAAAAAGTCCATAAGAGGCTTCCAATAAATGTAGACAATGTTTTTTCTGTAATCAAATAGACCAATTTATCAATTTCAGCAAAATCTATCAACTTTACCAGCCCTTCCTTCCTAGCAGGCAACACTGAATGTCTTCATCTCTGTGCACATAGTAATTTCACTGCAGCAATCATATATTGAAATAATCTTTCATGGCTTTTTTCTAACACTCTATTCATTGGTCCTAAAAAGAAAATGCTGGCTTATATTGAATATTGATCTTTAAAACCCTGTGTATAAAAAAGTATGTATTTGAATCCAATTTTTAAAGCTTCTTTTACATGCATGACAAAATGTCCCTTCATGTTCACATTTCTAACATACATCTGAAATGCCTTTATACATTCTGCATAATTTCTGACATTGTGTACCACCAATAAATCCTTTTAGATAAAAAATCTCTTCGAGATCATAACACAATGTAAATTTCAACCCTTTTAACCACACATTTTCCCACTGATCTATCTGTATTTTATAACCAAAATTCTTAATTCATTAATATTTAATTAGATAAGATTAATGGCTCTCTCGATTTGATATTGAATTCCCGTTGTTAATTTTCCAGTCAGTCCTGGTAGATCAATCATTTGGCTTCATCTGCCAGTTCTCTTATGCATCTTGTGCTGAGATCCATAAAGGTACTTTTAGGCACAACCTGGGTTTGTATCTATTCCATAATCTCAATATGGCACATGATTTTTAAAGTCCACATTAGTTTTAATTTTATCATATGATAAATATCCATGCCATCCAAACTTCGGGTCATGATCTTCTAACTTAAAAGACTCGTTTCTCAGCAACATCATTTTTTTTCATCCTGATCAAACAACAAGCAGCGAAGTACAATTTCAAATTTAATAAACCCAGTCCTTCTCTTTTCTTTGAATCTTACAACACGCCATTTTTAACTTGGGATTTTTCTTTTCCCTGCTCCATTTGTCATGGGTGCTTTTACATATACCCAAGTTAGTGGGCTCCAAAACACAAGACAGCCAACACAACAAACCAGGTCCTTAAGCAAACACACACAAGCTCTCAAAGGCTAGTATTCATTGCTCACCACTCCTTTCTTTCCCACTTCTACTACACGTCCTCCTACTGTTCTTCCTTGTGAGTCCTACTGCTGGAGAACAGTATCCTTATCTGCTTTAAGCAGCTTCAGTCTGCTTTATTTCCACAGATGAACATATATCCTCCAGCTTTCTCTCTGGTCAGACTTTATAGCCAACAGTTGCTTTGCTGGCTAGGGAGTGGCCTTAACAAGACCACAGCAAAATAGATGTTGGCCATCTTGTAGGCAGCTGGTCCTCTGACACCACATAAATTTAGATATAACTTTTGCCATTGTTGATAAATTAAATATCATTCTTAGCAAAACTTTGATTTTTATCATAGAAATTCTCCCCCACAGTGACAAATTTTAATTTCTCCTGGTTAACGTGTCCTTCTTAATTAGTTGGGGGCGTGCATAAGTGCACCAAAATGTGCCTACTGTCCCTGTCCTATTGTTTCTTTTTTTTCTTATTTGTATCCATTTCATATATTTATAACCATGTTTATACTTATACCTGTTATCTAATAATTGTTTGACAAAATAAATAAATAAATAAATTTCAGTCCATATTTAACATACTGTAATTATTTTGAAATAACATTGAATTCATATTTGTCACAGTAATACCCTCTATTTTACTTTTTTCCTCAATCTTAAAAATAACTTTCTCCAGCAATTTTATATGATCTTCTAATTTTCTATTTTTTTGTTAACATGAAGAAATGATTTATTCTGATTTGCTCTATGAGAACTGAATGCTACAGAGAAACGAAAGGTAAGTTCGTCCTAGTTCAGAAAATGAAAAAAAATTAAATAAAGACAAGTCCTATGTTTTAATCTTTTAAAAATCAATAAATGTAATCTTCACATCTTTCCAGCTTCATAAATTTCTTGGACTTGGTAATAGCACATCCAAAACTGATTCTTCTTCTGCTCTACAGATTTGACCTCAGCTCTCAACTTCAAAGAAAAGATTGTAAGATCTAGCTGTGGTAGACCTTTTTGTAGAGCTGGGATGTGTAGAGGTCAGCTGGAGGCCTTGTTTTTTTTAAAGTTGAAATTATCACAATTGTTCTGTTGATTTTTGCTTTTGAAGACCTGAAAAATCAGATTAAAGGTTGATCGTCGTGCAATAATGTACTATATGTAGCCATTAAGAATAGACATTGACCTGATGGCACATAATTAATTAATTCAGAACTTTTTGAATGATGTGTGTATGTGTGTTAAACATGAAATAAAGCATCTGACCTTGGGCTGTACTTCTCACGAAAGAAAGAAAGAAAGAAAGAAAGAAAGAAAGAAAGAAAGAAAGAAAGAAAGAAAGAAAGAAAGAAAGAAAGAAAGAAGAGGGAGAAAAAGAGAGAGGAGAAAAGAAAGAAATATACTGCTGAAAATTAGCTGTTTTGTTACCTGTTTTCAGAAATACATTCTGGAGCTGTTAGGGAGTTGTAGAATGGATGATAGGGGATTCTCCCTGACTTAATTTAGAATATTATCTGGACTGCCCGGCAACTCTTCCTTTGCCTGCCTAAGGGCTGGGATCACTAGTGAGGCAATGCTCTTGGGAAAATAATATGCATTATAAGCTTATGCATCTTAAATGTAACTTTCTTGGGAAGAAAGAAACTATAAATTGAAAAAAGGGTGAGAGGGCGTTTCTTCCCAATCTTGCCCATTTTCAAGATCTAATTCTCCCCCATCTGCTTCTCTTCCACAGCTTTTTCACCAAAGCTTGAAAGGAAAAGATGCTAAGTATATTCTTGAGGTTCATTTGAGGACTGGAGTTGGGATATTCCATGGGAGACATTAAATTTACACTCTTTCTTCTGTAATACCCATACTTTCTGTCCTGAAGATTAGAGTCTATTACAATATTGGCAAATAACTTTCTCTAGAAGTAGTTCCTTAGCAAGACCAAAAATTGAGAAAGTATCCATAAGGATGATGACATTTTCTGAATCACTCTGAGGCAGAATTTTACTTTGTCTTTGGAGTATCATGTTCTTCTTGCATTCCCCAAACATTATGACTCTTCGTCTTTTCCTTTAGCCTTATCTGGCTTCTTCTTGAGCCCTATTGGTTCTTCTTCTTTTCTTTAAGCTCCTTGTATCGCCACTTGGGCACCTGCAGTGCATTCTTGTTTTTAACCTTGGGCGGTTTGTTCTCTTCGGGAGTTGACTGGGCAGAAGACTTGGTGTACTTAATTTTTGGAATCGTGCTGTTGAATCGCATAGGAAGGGACAGAAGTTTCTCAATGGGACTAGGGGATTGATAGGGTATCAGGGTTTGGCTCCTGAACTGGCTACTGCTGCATGATCTGCTGTTTACTGATTTGGCATCGGGATCAGGTACATATTGGTTGAGTATTTCTGGCACTGAGTGTCTCTGCTTGCCTAATTCCGGTGGGCTGTCAGGACAGAGAGTTTGACAAGCCGTGGTCACAAACGGGCTGGCCAAGGACGTGGTCATGCGCACCATGTGGTCCATCACCCCATCTGTCTCGGGGTCTTGTGGGAAACGTATGGTAAACATGGAGCAAATGTGATCAGACAGACGCTTGGCTCTGGATTTTGAGGCCGTCGCTTGGGCCACCAGTTCAGGCAGATGGGGCCACTCTGGCAAGTACTTGTTAGAGAATTGCTGGGCACAGGGGCGTTGTAAAAGGATTCTGATCCGCATGATAGTTTCAAAGCATCCAGTCATGGCTGCCCATTCCTGTGCAGTTTTTCCTTTCACGGGGTCCACAGCAGCAATGTCAGCTCCTAGGAGAAAGCACACACAACGAGAAGTCCAGCCGTGTTTCATTCCCAAGCCCACGTTTACGTATCCCTCCCACCCACCCGGCTGCTGCCCCAGAGGTCTTGTTTTGGAGTTGCTTTCACCGTCCCATTTTGATATTTAAGGGAGAAGAAGCTGGGCCTCTTTACATACCCGAATGCATAGCAGGATAATCTGCCAAGAGTATAACCAGACTTGCTATTCACATGAGCTTTTGAGGAACTATGCAATGAAAGTCCCTCTGTGAGACAGAAAATTAAATAGATGATAGATAGATAGATAGATAGATAGATAGATAGATAGATAGATAGATAGACAGACAGACAGACAGATAGTTTCCCCCAAAATAAGACCCGGTCCTATTTTCTTTTGGGCCCCAAAATAAGCACTAGAGCTAGTCTAGGGAAGAGAAGCTAGAGCTTATTTTGGGGGAAACATGATTTCAGGGTGATCAGCCCAGCTGGGTACCCTGCACCCAGCACACTAACAAGAGCCAGCAAGCACACGGGGACCAACAGTATCCAGCAGCAGCTGCAGCCTGCTGGTCCCTTAGTTGGTGTACTCTGGAGCTGTGCAGAAGAGAAAGCACAGAGTGGCAGGCAATCCCGGTGCGCTGCGCAGGCTACAGGCAAGCCAAGAGATGTGGTTAGCCGCCACTTGAGCCCACTGCCGCTTGCCTTTCCCATGGCCTGTGTCTGGATCGCCTGCCTCCTCCCTGCGCCTTTGCCTCTGTCTGCTGCTTGCACAGGTACTCAACTCACCTGTGTTGCGCAGGTTGCGGCTGCTGCCAGACACTGTCAGCTGCGTGCGCTCGCTGCCTCCTGCTGGCCACACCCAACCCCTTCACTAGGGCTTACTTTTGGGGGAAGACACGTAAAAACAGGCTGGAACTTATTTTCAGGGTAGGCCATATTTTGAGGGAAACACGATAGACAGACAGACAGACCTGGAGAACTTTCCTGCTATACTGAATCATTCCTGCCCTTGGACTTAGCAGCCCTTTCAGCCATCTCTCTACCTTTTCTGCCATTTCTGGACAGCTGAAGTGAACACATTCTGAAAATGTCTAAACCCCTTCTGACTCATGCAGACGGTGAGAATGAATTTAGCTTTTTCAGATTCCCTTTCCCCTTTGCTTGCAATTTCTAACAGGTGGCTAAATGCAGAGATCTAGTATCTTATCAAAACCATCACCATCTCAGCAGTCCTGTGATTGGGTGGTTGGTGAAGTGGAGAAGGTGCAAGGAAGACAGGCTTTCTCCTAATGGGAAATAAGGACTGTGTCCTCCAGCTGCTAGCTGGAACAGAGGCAAGAGGAACTAGCAAAAGGAACACAGCAACATCTAAATTGGCTTGGTTTCTCATAGGCCCACTGAGGGTAGAAAGTACTTTACTGAGTTATGGGGAAGAGATCATGATGTTGAACTTGTGTTGATCCTATGACTGTTGGCTGGCTTAGGCAAAACAACAACTGAAGTAGACATTCTCCATCATCCAGAGGCTCTTTCCTTTCCCAGAGCTGTCTACATTTCCAAACAACGTTTCCCCCCCCAACTCTGCTTTCACCTCCCTTCCCTCACAAGCCAACTTTTGCTGCCCTTTAAACACGAGAAGAGATAAGGGACATTATGAGCCAATCCATTTTTCCCCCAGCTGATCAACAGAAAAATTAAAATAAATTAAAATAAAGGCATGGTTTGCCATGGTTTCCAGAATGATAAAAATCCCCTATATGTAGAAGAACATAAATTATTCTTCATGCCCCCAATATATTCAACATACATTGTATGCCGAAATATAGAATATATGTAAAATAAATTACATATGTAAAAATGTGAATAGGAGCAATATCAACTGTTTTCCTTTGATTTCTTTCTTTCTTTCTTTCTTTCTTTAAAAGGCTCTGCTAGTTGTGAGCCTAGGCAACTGGCTGGGGAATTCTGGGAGTTGACATCCACACCTCTTCAAGTTGGCAAGATTGAGAAAAAACTGTCACAGAAGGATAGCAACCTGGTTCTTTTCCTAATAGTTCTAATCATGGTATAATGTGTAGAATAATGGCTTCCTTGACCTCAGAGCTAAGGCAGGAGTTCTAGGCCAGCTGCTTATCAGTGTGTGAAACTGACTACAAATGTATTAAAGGCTTAGAGTGGGCTAACAGTTTTCCTTTCAAGCCCCAGCACTGCCAAAAAAAAAAAAAAAACAACCCCCAAAAGGAAAGGAAGCAGCCTAGCTTTGCTCCAACTGCAGATGAATAGCACAAGCTAGAAAAACACTGATTCATCCTGCAAAAAGAGTAAAGTGAGAATGAGAACGAGGATGGCCAAACCTGGAATATCTTAAAAAAGAAAAGAAAAGAGACGGGGGACGTGTTTCTCAATCTTAGCAACCATAAAATATGTGGACCATCTCCCAGAATTCCCCAGTGAGCATGCTGGCTAGGGAATTTTGGGAGTTGAAGTCCTCACATCTTAGAGTTGCTGAAGTTGAGAAACCTTGGTCTAGCTTAGAATATCTGTGTGCGAATGGAAGGGACCGTGGAAAGGGACAAATCAACACTACGCTGGCCAATTTTTTTTTATGAGGATTAAATTGCCCCAAGAGTTACTAATGATAAAAGGCTCTAAATTATGGCTCCCCCCACCCCAATTTCTCGATTGTGTCAATTCTTGAGCTGTTTTTCATCCCATGCATGCAGGTGAGCAACAAGGAGAATTGCTTTTGCTGTCCAGCATATCTTATTATGCATGGGGCCATTATCCTGAAAGCCCCTGCAGACTCTCTTTTCTGTGGTGTGGCCTAAAAGCAGCGAGGCTTCTCTTTTTTTCTTCTTAGTTTTATTTCTAGCAACCTGGAACAACTGCAATTTGGTTCTTCTAGGTTTTTCTTTAGGGGTATAGAAGACTCTCCGGAAGCATTTTTTTTGTTTTCTAAATCATCCTTGAAAAGTACACCTCTCACATTCCAGTTTGTGGGTTACACCTTCTCTCCTTGAAATAAAGACATGCTCCTAATGTTTCTCGCTACTGATGGATTCTCTGCACAATAGCAGATTATGTTAATTCCAAGAACATTAAAATCAACATCTGGAATGTCAGCAGCAGTTAATCATATACCTGCCATGAGCAAGGCTGCAACGCAATCATTCTTCCCTCTTATTGCAGCCTTCATGAGTGCAGTCAGGCCTCGGTCATCCTGCATCTCAATGTCTACTCCTGGATAGTAATTCAGAAGGTAGTTCAAAATAGTAATGTGTCCTTTGTGGCAACAGAGAGACAAAGGGAACAGTGTTAGGAATGTACTGAGCAATCCAAAGAAAAATACTCATTACAATCTAAAGCAGGGGTCTTCAAACTTGACAGCTTTAAGACTTGTGGACTTCAACTCCCTGAATTCCTCCTCCAGTCATGTTAGCTCAGGAATTCTGGGAGTTGAAGTCCACAAGTCTTAAACATGCCAAGTTTGAAGACCCTTGATCTAAAGCCAGCATTGGTCACAAAAAAATGCATAATTCTATTGTATGGGTATATTCTTAATTTTGTTTGATTTTTCATTTTGTGCACATCCGCATTTTCAGAAAACAACAACTGAATGAAAAACTGCTGGTGACCTTCTATCGCTGCACCATGGAGAATATTTTAACTTACTGCACCTCTGTATGGTTTGCACAGTGGCAGATAGGACAGCACTCCAAAGGGTTAACACCATTGCCCAGAAGATCATTGGTTGCCCTCTCCCCTCTTTGGAAGAGCTTTATAACTCCCACTGCCTTAAGAAAGTTCAAAACATTCTCAAAGATCCATCTCATCCTGGGAACCCTTTTTTTTCAACTATTACCATCTGGCAGATGGTACAGAATAATAAAAACAAGCATAAAGAAGCTGAAAAACACCTTCTATCCCAGGGCAGTAGCTCTTTTGAATTCTGCTGTATAGTGCAGTGTTGGTGTGGTATCAGGGGTTTCTGGATCAATGTGTGAAGGGTAAAGGATGTGTGTTTGTGTTTATTTTCATGGTCATGGTCATGATTTACACTGAAGATGGTGTTTGATTTCGTTGTATGAGGTGCAATGACAATAAAGTAAACTAAACCATCACTTTTGCTTCACAGAAAGTTTATAATTAACTTCTTTCCATAGTCACAAATCATCAATGTGTGTATAAATGAACTGACTGACAACCACCCCTAAATTTGAGATCCTTTGTAGTTGTAACAAATAGATTCACTGTCCTCCATGTTAAATCCTAAGACGCCATACCACTTTTAAATATCACACATTGCCTATGTTGAAACCGAAGGGAAAAATAAATTTCTTCTCCTTTTTTTTTGCCCTAGCCAGAACCAGTCAGCACCCAAACTGGATACCCGACTCAATCAGTGGTGGGATTCAATTTTTTTTTACTACTGGTTCTGTGGACTTGGCTTGGTAGGCATGACATGGCTTGATGGCCATGGCTTGGTGGCTGTGGCAGGGGAAGGTTACTGCTAAATCCCCATTCCCTTCCCACCCCACTAACCTGCTTTCCAGCTCCATTCTCCTGTGCAGGGCAGCAAAAGATCAGCTGGGACTCGGGAGGCGGAGAATAGATGGGGGCGGGGCCAGTCAGAGGTGGGATTTGCCGGTTCTCCGAACTACTCAAAATTTCCACTACCGATTCTCCAGAACTGGTCAGAACCTGCTGAATGCCACCTCTGAACTCAACTCAGTTATTCCCAAGTGTACATTCAAAATCCATCCCCCCTCCTTCCTGGTAAATACATCCTATGAGAGATGCAGTATATAACGATCCAACAGTGCTGTTTTTTTCATTAAATATTGTTCTGGACAGATAATGATTTTAAACAAGGGAATGACAGGAAGGGAAAAGTCCCCCCCTCCCTTGTTTTGTGTGCATAATTTGGAACTGTGTTCTTCAGCTTGCTGTTTTTAAAGTTCTGGTCAAACATCCCGCCGATGTTTGAATCTTTTATGTTCCTTGAAGTCCCCCATGTCTTGCCTGGTGTAATGTGGTGTATGAAAATAGTAACTTTTCCTACCTGCTTGGGCTGCCACCATAAGTGCTGTGTTTCCATCATTATCCTGGTGGTTGACATCTATGTAGGAGCATTTACTGAGAAGAATGACAATATCTTTGAAACCTCGGAAACATGCTACCAAGAGGCCGTTCTGGAGAGCAAGAGGGAAAATGTTAAGATTCCAACTTCCAGAACACACAAGATCTTTCCCCATCCATCCTTTCAGGTTTTGAGGTCTGTGATCCCAATATCTGCAATTTGGCTTTTCAAATCTCACCAGGCTCAAGGCTGACTCAGCTTTCCAGCCTTCCTAGGTCGGTGAAATGAGGACCCAGATTGGTGGGGGAAATTATGCTGATGCTGTAAAATGCTTAGAGAGGGTTGTAAAGCACTGTGAAGTGGTATATAAGTCTAAGTGCTATTGCTGTTGCTATTTCTGGGCTTGTTCAGTGGCCAACTGAATACCATGCAAGGACTGGATGCCATGTAGCAAAAATGCTTTTCCATCACTATTCCTGGTGATTCTATTCATCCCGATCTATCATAAGATTGACACGGGAGATAGGATACTCTGTTTAACCATGAGTCGAAAGTGGCAATCAATGCATGATGATGATATTAGCAGGGATTAGACATGCATTTTCTCATGTATAAGGCACATTTTTAATATTGCAGTTGGTCTACTATATTTCCCCCCTTAGATCCTCTCAGAGCACATAAGACAATTGACTGGCTTGCAAAAGCCATAAGCAGCTTAAGGGGAGCCTCTTAAACCCTGGAGAATTGGGTGTTATGGCTTCTCAGAGCGAATAATCAGAATGCAAAACAGCTTTTTTTTTTTTTAGTTTTAAAATAGACTATTTACAAAAGATTAAAACACAAACAAACATACAAATATGTAAGAATAAAAAGAATATAAATAGAACAATAAACATATTTCTTTCTATTACATTTGATATTAAGATTGATACCATGTTTCTCCAACAATACGGCCTCCCCCAATAGGAAGACCCAGCATGTTTTCTAGGCATAAGGTTAAATTAAGCCCCTCCCCCCAAATTTAGGCCTAGTTTTAAACTGGGGGGCGGAAGGGCGCTGGGGGGGAACTTGCCGTTAGGAGTGCCCCGCAGGCAGCAATACCTCGCCACCAGCCACTCCTAACGGCTGATCATGGCGGAGCTCAGAGAGCTCCCTACTCCTACCAAGTATCTTTGCTTCTGGGGGCTCTTGTGCAGGAAAGACGGGGCCGCACCAAGAGATGGATGCTTCTGCTTTCCCATCTGTGCAAAGGGCACTGGCTCTGCCCACCTCTGCCACAGCCCCAGCATGGGCACGGGAGCTGACTTTAAAACGGACTCCATCCACGTCCCCTCAGGCAGCCAGAGCAGGGCTTGGCAGAGATGCCTCTGGCAGGACCGCAGAAGAATGAGCCGCCCAGCCTGCTGCTGGCATGTCAACCTTTGACCAACGCTTTGCTCTGGCAGCTCCTTTTCCCCAAGCACGGGCGAGGCTGCTCATTGGGGTTCGCATGGCAGGCAGCAGATTCCAGATTTGCTGGACCCCGGGGCGACAGCGAGCAGCTCCCACTTGGGCTGCATTTTCGGCTTTCCGAGTGCCTGCAGGCACCATTGTGTATACTTTGGCGGTAGCTCTGTAAGCAGAGAGTCTGTAGCCTGTGCATCTCTGGGAGCACCTGAAGCTTGACGGGGCTGCCTGGGCCCTTGGTGGTCCCATGCCCTGTTGCGAGCTTGGAGTCCATGGGTTGGAAAACAACCCCCAGACTTCCAAAGAGAACTTGTCGAGAGAAGAATTCAGGGCAGGTTGGTCGTGGCCACCGCACCTGAATGGCGCAACTACATTCTTTTGGAAAGGTCTGGCTGAGAGACTTGGGGAAATCCCAGGAGGTTAGGGAGGGTAGAACAAAATTGGTGCGTGAGACCGGTCGGCTGGTGTTCACACTGGGGGAAGAGGAGCTGGTGGAGCGCCAGCCATGGCGGGAGTGCCAGAAAGGCAGCCCGCTTGCCTTTGTCTCTCGTGCAGTGGTAGGAAGCCGGGCATTGCCGGGGTCGGGGGCTCTAAGCAACCCAGCAGTCAGCAGGGCAGGTTAAGAAAGCAGCCTCCTGAGTAACGGTTCCGAGTGCTGCAGCTTGATCCGAGCTCGAGCATGTCCACATGGCATGCCGAAGTTGGCGCTTAATGGAGCTCTGCAGGTTTGCCAATGCACTGGACCAAGAACTACCCGCACAGGCTGAGCTGGCATGATGCACAGGGTGGAAAGTGGTTGGCTGCGTGGGTGTCGTGGGAACACGGCCATTCACTGATAAGGGTATAAATACACATGCACACACACTACCACCAGGCTGTGTGTGGGAGGAAAATTAAGACATCCTCGAAAAGACGGCCTAGCCATTTTTTGGGGGCTCAAAAAAAATAATAAGACCCAGCCTTATTTTATGAGAAACATAGTAGTTCATAGTATAGTAGTAAGTAATCATTGGCAAGTATTCCTTATCCCTTATCAATTACCTATTAATTAATAAATAATATATGATTCTGCTATGACTATTGGATTATAACTGTATTGGTTAATCGAATGGAGCCTTGATAATATTTATATAATAGACAAGAACGCCTTTTCTTATATGAGTATAAGTGAGTGATTATTTTGCAGGGGAGAATGAAGGGGCCTACAGCAGTGGGATGGGCCATTTTTCCTTGGTAGGAACTCAAGCTTCATCCTGCACTCCCCTCTTGATATTTCTAAAATGTGTGCATATGGAGGTGTTATTCTCCCACTCCAGGAAACATTGCAAAAGGAATATCAGGGTGGAGAATGGTGAAGAAACTGGGGTAGAGCAACCTAATATGTTCAAGGGAGAATGATGGGTGGGACTGGTGGCCCTGAGCAAGCATCCTAATCTCCTAAGATGTCCTAATCAAATGTAGCATCTCTTTCTCTTCTGTGTATAAAAGCTGGAAATCGCAGCCACATAACCCCAAGTTATGAAAAGAACCTAAGTCTATCTAGCAGCACAAATGCAGCCAAGAAGAAGTATTCACTTTGGTTCTTGGCTGAATTGGAAATGGTTATAAATAAATTCCACTCTAGGACTAAAACTTAGTCCAATGATCTGCCCCAGGTGACTTTACTATTCAATCAGCTGGATAAAAGAGTGTGTCTTTGTGTCATTCAATCATGATTTCCCCCTATCATCTAGCCAGCCACAAACATCGTTATTATCAATGTTTGTTGATAATTGCTTCATGAAGCAGTCATATTAAGGTAAGTTGAATCTATGGAACGACTGGATTCATCTATTTATTTTGAGAAATTACCAGCTACAATCCCTAGAGTTTCAGGGGTATAGTGTAATAAAACTTTATAAATAAAAACCTCCGATGGTAAAAATATAAATTACACTATAAAATCATAAAAATCTAAACACCATACCACAGTCATCCCCTCCTGAATCATGGATCATTGTAGGTGCTCTGGGGACAGCTCTGTTTTCAGTAGTTTCCAGAAGGCCAAATTATAAAGAGAGAAGCAACTGAGAACTAAGGAGAAATTTCCTGACAGAACAATTTATCAGTGGAAGGTCCTGCCTCAAGAAGTTGTAGGTGCTCCAATGCTTGAGGTTTTTAAGAAGAGATTCGACAACCATTTGTCTAAATCCAGTCGTTTCCTGTTTGAGCAGAGGGTTGGACTAGAACAAGGGCGTCAAACTGGCGGCTCGCAGGCTGGATATGTCACGTGTAGGCCATGCCCATCCCAGCTCCACGAAGGGGAAAAATGTTGTGATACAACACATGACAGCAATGTGACGTGGTGAGTTTGACACAACTAGAAGATCTGCAAAGACCCTTCCGACTCTTGTTATTCTGTTGTTATTCTTTTAGGAGCTAGTCCCAATTCAAGGGGGAAGTTGTCCCAAAGTCTAAGAAAAGGTCCCATAGAAAAACAGAACACACAATCCTTCATGTAAATACCTTGTGGAGATGGGGGACTAACAGCAGTTTCTTCTGGGATAAACATTTAAGACCAGAAGATACTTCCATGCCAAGCCATATTGACTTTATATATAATCACTAATACTTTGACTTGCAATTGGAAGCTAATCAGAATCCTGTACAGTGATTGGAGCAATAGTATAATATGTTCATAGCAGTGAGTTCTATCCACAAATAGACCAATGATTCTGGAGCAATAGTAGCTTGCAGGTGGCCTTTATGTAATTGACTATGACTACCGGTTGAGATCAGTAAAGCTAGGGACATTGTTCTAGCTATACTCCAGTTAAACTATACCATCACAGGACCATTTCATCACCAGTTCACACCTGCTGTGTCAGGTCAGGAAGGAGGTCTAATTACCTTTCCGTTGATATCCAACTCCATAGCTTCTTCCCTAGTCACCCCGCTGTTAAGTTTATCCTGCAATAGCTGTGCATTGTTCTTGACACAGCACCAGTACAATGTGACTGCTTGGTGTTCCTCACTGTCAGATGGAGCATCTTCATAGTCTGGGAAGACAGAGTCCTCGGAGAGGAGGCTGCAAGTATCTGAATATTTATCCTGCCTTTCATCCTCTTCATCCTTAAAGTCTAGTTCTTGACTGGATTTGCTTAGGGCGGGTGATGTGTTTGGGTCTCTTCCATTGTTATCATTATTCATCCAGCCTGCTCACAGAAAGTAGCTTTTGATGTGGTTTTGGTGGTCCATATTCTTCTCCCTGGAAAGAACTATTTCTGTTCTTGTCTTCTTTCTCAATTACATGCGGGGGATCTACAATGCAAAAGAGAAGACCTATGTGCATGGGTTTGAGAGAATTATACTAATATTTATTGTTCTGAAGGGATGGGTATATTGTATTGATCATTTGCCCAATATTCTCTAAATTATATTCCAAAAGTAAAGTAATTTGCACCAAGACAAATTCCTTGTGTGTCCAATCACCCTTGGCCAATAGGGAATTCTATTCTATTCTAAAATAAACAGATATTCTGCTCTGAACAGAAACTGGAAACCATTGCAGTTCTCTATCTGGCAGTTGCTAAGATGAACATACAGGTACAGTTAGTCCTTGACTTGCAACCATTCATTTAGCAACCGTTCGAAGTTGCAACCTGCACTGAAAAAAGTGACTTACAACCTGTTCTCACATTTACAACCGTCACAGCATCCCCATAGGTCATGTGACACTTGGCAGGCACTTGGCAGCCAGCATGTATTTATGATAATTGAAGTGTCCTGGGCTCATGTGATCTCCATTTGTGACCTTTCCAGGTGACTGCCAACAAGCAAAGTCAATGGTGGGGGGAGGGGCAGCCAGATTCGCTTAACAATCATGTGATTCACTTAACAACCAGGATGATCTACTTAACAACCATAACAAAAAAAGAGGTAAAATCAGGCATGATTCAATCACTGCCTCACTTAGCCATGGAAGTTCTGATACCAATTGTGATTGTAAGTCGAAGGCTACATTTAGCAACCACAGTTGGGACCGGCAATTTGGCTGTTAAGCAAAGTCATCACTAGAGGAAACGACGACCCGGTTTATGATCTTACTTCAGCTTTCTTTTCCTTTAGATCAGAAATGTGAGGACTGGTTGCAAAGTTACTTTTTCATCACCTAATGGTGAAGATCTTTTCTATCCTGCTTTACGGAGTGGAGAGTTGGTCTCTGACAGAAGCCACTTGAAGAGACTAGAAGCATTTGAAATGTGGATTTACAGGTGGCTGTTCCGTATAAGCTGGGTTGACAAAATTAGAAATGAGGAGGTGATAAGCCACCTGGGAGAGCCAAGGGAAATAATCAAAACCATTAAAAAGCAACGTTAGAATATTTCCGACATGTGATGATGCAAAACCTTGAAAAATGTGGCATACTTCACTTAATCATCCAGGGAAAGATTGAAAGCAAGCGAGGTCCAGGCAGAAGAAGAACATCATGGCTTCAAAATCTAAGGGACTGGTTGGGACAAAACTCAACAGCACTTTTTCATGCAGCTGTTGATCAAAATAGGATTGCTAACATGATCACCAATGTCCGTTGACGGATATGGCACAACAAGAAGAAGAAGATTTGCAAAGAGTTGCTGCGTGAGACAGTCACTAAACCAAAACTACCTGTATAGAGCAATGTTTCAAGATGTACTTGCAAGGTGTATGGAACAGCAATGAGTGTCCATTCAACTCCTGATTAAAAATGAGCAAGTGAACAGGAAAGTTAACAGGAGTAGCTTAGGGGATTCAGCAGGGAGTACAAAGGAAAATACTTTCCCCCCTTAAGACCAGAGTTTGCAATTGGTTAATAGGAGTTTGAAAAAGAAAGAAAACCTTTCAACTGATAATGCTGTGAGAGGGGAAAAAAAGATGGTGAAGAGAAAGGGGTCTCTGCTTATGGCCTGCAGTCAGCCAAAATTCCACAAAAGACCCTATGAGCTTTTCCACAAAACAGTTTTTATCTCCCTGCACATAAACAGCTGTAAATTCTTGTTAAGGCTTGAAATTGTTTTTTTTTTTTAATTTTAGCTACAGTGATAGTCTGCCTGGACAACAATTAATTCAGTTCTAATTGTTGGATTTCCCTTTCTTTCCCTTCTCTTCCCCTCCCTTCCCTTCTCTTCTCTTTCCTTTCCTCCCTTTCATCCAACTTGGGAAAGTACTAGGCACCCACTGTTATCTCTTCTGAGGGCTAGTGAAAGCAGAGAGAGAGCAGGGAGACCATGATTTTATAGTTCAAAACAATCCTAACTTCTTTCTTTCTTTCTTTCTTTCTTTCTTTCTTTCTTTCTTTCTTTC